AAGGCCAGGTTGGATGGGGCTTTGGGCAACCTGGTCTAGTGGAGGGTGTCCCTGCCCATGGCAGGGGGCTTTAAACTAGATGATCTTTAAGGTTCCTTCCAACCCAATCCATTCTATGATTAATCAGGCCGCAAGAAACTACATTATTTACAGGACACCAGATAAAAGGTTCAGAAAGTAGCATGTACAAGAAAAGCTGTTCTTTGAAATATAAGTAGCCATAGTACCCAGGTTAGAATACATAAAGAATTTTTCTAAAGAAGCTAAGAACAGATTATTCTCACTGATCAGTGACAGAACAAGCAAAACATAATAGGCTTGAGCTACAATAAAGTTTATACTGAGCATTAGAAAAATAAACGCTGTAAAAGATCAGCAAACAGCCTTCCTAGGCAGACTGGGTAATTGTTACAGGAGATATTTGACACTTAAAGGCTTCCTTACTCCTTTCCTGATATGTGAAGAGTAGGTTTGATAATCAAATGGATATATGCTAAAACTCAGTTCATTCTAAACTTCATCACATGAACAGCAGGAACTTTGAAAATAGCATGGAAAAACTACAAGCAGTTATTTGTTGTACATTTGTTGTATGCTGGAGCTTCCACTGCTAGCCTGAACAAGAAGAAACTTGCATCTGCCTTCTCACTCAAATGCCTTTGAGGTACTATCAGTAATCCTCAACTTGCAATCAGCAGCAAACATGCTGCTTCAAACAGAAGAAACAAATAGTGGGAGGAGCCATATTGCATATTCCAGAAAGATCACAGCTCCAACACCATGAAAATAGCAAAGGGAACATATGAAAATGAGCAATAGTGAAGTACTTCGCTTATAAAAGTCACAAAACCCTCTCTCCAACAACTTCTTCAAGACCACCCAAACAAATCAAGAACTCACTACTATTTAAGTCTCAGCTTTGTCCTTTTTTGACAAAGTCTTTATCTGTATCCACAGACTGCTGTCTTCCCACTGGGAGCATACATGATTTTCTGTAGTAAGTGAATTTACGCTACCTTAAGCTTTGGTACAAAGCTGCATGAGACAACTCGAGTGATACTGACTGTGGTCACTACAACATACAGTGCTTAAGGAAGTATCAATGTATGTACACACGCACTATTGAAAACCAATCAGTGGTGGGAAGCAGTGTAGAAACCTTGCTCCAGAAAGACCAATCAGGACATCAGGGGGAAAACAAAACAAGCAGTTTATCCTTTTTGGAAATGGCAGGAATCATATTTCGAAAACAACATGAATCACCTGACATGAAATCTAGCAAATACTTTTGAGCTTTGGCAGAAAAGCATACATGTGAGTTTCATTGTACATCCAAAAAAACCCCCCAAACATCCTCTTTCAAGGCTCCAGTCAAATGTAAAGAGAAATGTGTATGCAACTGCATATTATAAAGGTAATCAGGAAAACGAAGAACAGCAGTGACCAGCAAAAGCTGACAGCAGGACTGCATAAATTATTCTAGAACAGTTGCGCCAAGATTTTCATTTAACAGTACAGGGGGGCGGGAAATAGGTAAATTTTGTCAAATTAGAGGCTTAGAAACATTTCTTGCATTTTGCAAACCCCAAAGTTGAAACCCCTTTGAATATAAAATTACTTAAAACATTACAAAATTAATGTTTTTAGCATTGTATGATTAGTAGAGGTTGAACACTGCTACTGGCAGTAACAATACAACATCGTATCTCTGAACACAAAGGGCCTAAGTGCTACAAGCAAACATTTTTTTAATATGATAACACTGTTCTACCTGACAATGCAACCATAACTCACCATCCTAATCTCTACTGCTGCTTTCCCTGTAGGGCAGATCACTACCTGCTTTGAGACATAGCCGTGCTCTCTCAAGCAGCAAGGTTGCCTTCAAATGTTTCCAAACCCTGTTTCCCCCTCCCACCCAGGTAGCGTGCCACCTCCTCAGCTGTGACCACACACTGAAAAAGAGTGAGGAGTTGTTTCATACAGTTTCATACAGTTCAAACAGTACCACAATCAATTGTGTTGGTACAACCAAGCCAGTGGTAGCATGTGGTGAGAATGAATCATGGGGGAGGAAAACCGTAAGTTGCCATTGCTGCCAAAGTATCACTGGACTGCAGCACAGAGAGCAGGTTTTAAAGCTTATTCCTGCATTTACTTCAAACCACTAAAGTACTAGAGGATGCTGTGCCAGAAACCTTAGTGGTGACCAACAATTCCAGAGCAAAAGTTTTTTTCCAAATGAACTACTTTTGCAAAAGACTGCTGTTTTGATGTCAATAACAACTGACATCACAGAGATGGCAGAACTAAGTCAGTTGGAGACATGCAATAAAAACTCAACTATAGCAACAAAAGTCTCATGGAGAACAAGATACACAAAGCCTTTTACATGCCCAGTTCCTAGTTTCTAAAATAAACAAATTGCAAAGACTTGGAAAGGATCTCTCTTTAAAACACAAACCACAAGTTCCTCCAAGGGCTTATACCTCTATGCATTTCTGTCCAGAGCTTTTCACAGAAAGACAGGATATCCCAGAATTGTACCCCTACCTGCACACACCAGGTAGTGATATCTGGAGGGTCATCTCACCAATATTGTAAGACAATACAGGCAGTTTTATATATTGGTAAACTACAAAGCCACATGTATCCCATATCATCAACAGCTAAAATAGCTTGACTCAACCTGATTTAAAATTTCTAATAGAAGTGTGTTATCCAAAGATTATTTTGTTGGGGCTTTAGTTAAGAGATTATTAGAGCTTTCAATTTGGAGAACAGGAGTAAGGTAAAAAAAAAAAGCCTGGAACACAAATACTCTTTCACAGCATTAATATTTTGATACACCTGACTGAGGCTTGCATTTTAGAAGAGCAATATTTGCAATAGGAAATAATTCCATGCAAACATGCCAAAGCATCAGGCTAAGTATGAACTACACAAATACAATTTAAAGAGCTTGTAGGCTTTTAATTATGTTTCTGTGCAGAACTCCATTCAAGTTGTCTTAGCTGAAAGGCATCCTCTGTGGCATAAGCAATACAGAAATACAAGCACACACCAGGATACACATGATTTAGTACTGAAACACAAAATTTAGATAAATTAATCCTAGAAGAGTAGAAAGAAGCTCCTACACTCTAGAAACCTGTATGCTGTGAGCAGATGTAATTTGGAGGTGTAGTTTGGTTAAAGATTTACATATCAAATACAAAGGTTTTTTTAATTTAAGCCAACCAAGCAAACAATACTACCTCTGTAAGGCCTTTACTATTAAATCCATGTATCACTTTGTTCAAAATGTATAAAGTCTCTATTTTTTCTTGGAACAATTTGCCTAGCAATAAAACTCTTGCTAAAATAAGATAGCAAGAAGCTGGGGTTCAAATTTTTATGGAAAATTCTTTCTGTTTGTCAAACACTCCTGAACTTGGCACTGCATGCTATTTGAATATAAATATGTGCTGAAAAAAAATCCATACTCCAAAAACAAAATTACCATCAAACATTACCAAGAGCAGGAAAAATGGTTTAGGGTTTGTTTGGGGGGTTTTTTGTGAGCTTCAAAAGAATTTTGGGGAAAAACTTTAGAGAGAAAAGCTCCACATACAACAGGTAACAAGAACTGAAAAAGAGAAAAATACAGCTTAACACATCAAACACATCAAAAACAAGACTTAGAATTTAGAAACAGAAAGCTGGGCACAAGTTTCGAAGCCAAGTTTAATTGTTACTCAGCAAGAGAAAGGAGTGAAAGGAAAGTCCAAAGTAGTGAGATGTAATCTGGGTTGCTTAGTCGTGCCAGAGAAAGGACTTCCATTACAGTTAAGGTGGAAGATCATCACAACATGAAGAGTTTTAGCAGTTAGAGCAGAATGGGTTAATTTTCAAAGAATAAAACCAAAAACCCCAAACCCAACCACCCCACAAAGAAATGTGCAAAAATACATACATGAGAGACATTTCTATCTCATCAATTGGTGTCTGAATTAGAAAACTCGCATTCCTGTTTAAGTTAGCAGCATCTTCTGAGAGGGAAACTAAGTCTGCGCCTTTGTTGCCTGCACATCTGGCACTTCCTTTGGAACGTGCAAGATTTCAATCAACATGTCAAGACATCTTCTGGAGAGCTGCTCCCATTCTGACCTAATTACGTATTTTCTGGTATCATTAGCATGGACAGCTTGCTCTCCTGTAACCCAGGCAGACATTTGCTTGGGAAATTCACTCCCCCTCTCCACAGAGCTATCATAAGTTAAATCACAGAATAACTTCATGTTGCGTCAGAATTTTTTGTGGGAGAGAAAATCCTTCTGGATCTTCCCTTTAATACTTCTGAATAAAAGTTTCCTGTCTGCTGAGAGAAGGGAGAAAACAGTGACAGAAAACAGAGAGGACATGAACCTGAATTCTTCTGGGGCTTTCTAGATTTATGCTTTTTATACTTCCTGCACTTCGAAAAACAATAGGCAGAGGAACTACTGTTTAGCAGATCATGTCTCTGCCCTTGCTACATTAACACCAGATGCTTCTCTGTTAGCTTTGATATTGCTCTTCCATAACCTCATTTTCACAGAGTTTGTCAGGTCTTCCATCTCTCTCTTTCCAGTTTGGATAGGGCCCCATTTTGGCCAAAAATGAGCAGAAAACACACTAGGAATTCAGCTAAAATCACGTGCATTGAGTTGTGTCATTCTGTTCAGCCACCACCTTTGATCAATCCCTTCCTGTTTTGCAGGCTCAGAAGTTTGATAGTACTTTATCAGGAGCAAGCAGAAGAAGAACTTAAGAAATCTAAACGACTTAATTGCTCATCTTTCAGTAACAAAAACTAGATGATCAGAGACGATTCACTCTGCCTGCAGTGAAGTCAGGCAGAAACTTTCAACAATGAATTGGGTGGATAAGGCAGTTCTAAATATATCCCACCATCCTCACTCATGCAAAGGAGTTAAAAGATCTTTTCATGTGTGCAGCTTAGCCACCAGACCTGACAGGGAAGAAAAAGGGGCTCTCAGCAATTTAATCAAGACTGTGGTACTATTCCAGAACAGCTCAGCTTACTTGCCATTGTTTTAGGCAAGCAGCAAACGAATGGACAAGTGCCAGACTTTTAGAATACATGCCAAGAAAGAGTAAAAAAGTTAAACAGGAGACCTCATCCCTAATACCCCTCAGTAATGAATGACCTACTTGGACTTCTCAGTCTCTTTCAAAATCTTCACACCACTTTCTGTCCTGCCATTTACCTGCAAGAGAAACAAAATACATGGCAACAGCCTGAGTGGCAGCGGGGGGG